TAATTTACGGCAACAACAAAAATTACGTTGCATGAAACGTATAAGTTGGGAAAAACGAGGTCAAAGTTGACATTTCATTAATTAGGGTCTCTAACCATTGGAATGCAAAGACATTTTACCGTTAAATCACTATACACATAATTAAGCCACATCAATTTTTTTTATATCAAGATCAAATGTAGATAATGAAAAATTAATCAATGTGATTGGAAATTAACAAAAAAATATATTGAAATGTGCACAAAAATGTTGTACCATAATTTCAGAATTGGGAATTATTTTTTAATTCAAAGGTTTAAAAGACAGAGTCCCAGCGACTTTCAAAATAGTTTGTCTTCAAATTTACAAATCACATTTATAGTGGCAAAATGTCCATTTGATTGGGAATTAACAAAAAATATAATAAAATTAAATTTAGAATGGAAATGTATTATTTTAATTCAAAGGTTTTAAATTTAAAAATGTTGTCCTCAAAATTACAAATCACATTTTTTGTGGCAAAATAGGATGGTTTAATCAAATCCCAGAATCAGACAAATTGTTGATGCAATTGTGATTCTAAACAAAGCACTATAACCATTAGACTTGGCTTCCAGGTTCTTTATCAAGAAATAATACATGAAAAAGTAAATTCTGATCTCAAATTCTTGATCCAGATTTGAGAATTAGATTCAAATTCCAGCACGATTTAGGTTTAGATTCTAGCCTGGATTCAGATGTGACATTCAGATTAAGATTTCGACCTTGATGCAGGTTCCAGATTCAGGTTTATAGGTTCCAGCCTCAAATTCTGATAACAGATTTCAAATTCAGGTTTAGATTCTGTTACAGCCTTGGTTCAGATTTTACATTCAGGTTTAGATTTCAGCCTTGATTCAGATTTTCAGATTCAGGCAGGTTTAGATTCCAGCTTCAGATTTAAATTACAGATTCAATTAGCAATTCTCTTCTATTTTTGCATTTAGCCTCAAAACTTATAGATTAAATTGGTTTGGTCCAAAATTGAAACAAAATAAAATTAAAACTTCTTAAAAAAATGTGGAAGCAATGTTAGTTTTTCGTTTCTGTAATTTTTTCCAAAAATTTTCATTTACAATAAACAACTGATAAAATATGGAAAAATATTAGCACAAAAAAAATGGCTACTTTCAATATGTTTATTAATATTTCAGTTTAAATATAAATTAAATATTTCATTAAATAGTTTTAACAAATCCGTGATATAAAATATACCATGTGTGGTTATTGCAAGAATATCGCAAAATATGCACAAATGCAGTACGATGATCATAATCCAACCAACGTGTAGAGGAAGCCAATGAGATCCTGCACTGCCTGAGTGCATACTTTGCGGTGTTCTCGCGATATTTGTCCTGCTTGTAGTGATAACTTATTGAGAGATGAGAACAAATGACAATTAATTAATTTGAATAATGTCAATCATTTGTTGTGTTTTACACTTTTTTCACTAAAAAGTAAAATGTGCTAAGGCCAGACTTTTTTTATTCCTTGTTTTTATAAGGCAATTTTTTTGAGGAGGGCGAAAAAAAAAAAAAAATAATTATTTTTTTCCATTTGATTTGTGTGATTCTCAAAGAATTGTAAGTGAGATCATTGATCGGAGAGAAGAAATGAAATAAATTTTTATTCCATGTATAACCTTGTTTCTCATCTGCACGAGACTTCGGTACTTTGATCATGATACTCCCACGAAAATGCTACTTGAAGATAAAAATAATTTTTTTTCAGCAATTTTTTGCACTTACAAGTCGGCGGGCGTGAGAAATTACGCTGAAATAAAATTTTATTTCATTTTTGGCTCCTGTTCATTCGGCGGGTTCGTGAAACAAGGGATAATAAAAGTCTGGCCTAAATTAAAAAAATGTAAAATAACAATAGAGCTTATTGTCTCACTGGCAAGTTGGTGAACCTAAAACTCAATGAATATGCTCAAAGAATCAAAATGGTGAAATCATATGCCAGCAAAAATAAATGGTTTTACAGTATATCAAAAAAACATAAATTATATCGTAAATTCACCTTGCCGAGAAATTAACGTTAGCGATGTATTATTATGTCAAGTTGATCAAATTCCCTGTCACATCTTATATTTTGTGAGGATACTGAAATTAGCAACCAGTTTGTAGATGAGATGCAGTCTATAATCACGAGACTTTGTGAATAGTCTATAAAATAATGGATTAGTGAATCGATCTGAAGTTTTTCGGGCAGGTCTTACCTGCAGGGCAGTCTACACGTTTCTATTATTATAGTAATGTAGTGAAGTCATGGAGACAACCAATCAGTGATGACAGATTTTTGTGCCAACTACGTAGTTACATAGTGATTCATCAGACCATCATTGTGTACTAAATAGTTATGACTAGATTCCAGGTTAGCAGAGTTTACTGTAAAATACTTTATTTTAGCTGGAATTAATTTTCGCCAAAAAGATATTTTAATTAATTCTAAGCGAAAATTACGTATTCTACAGCATGTGCATGTGGGGACTTAAGCGGCATATGGAAACAAAGATTGAAAAACCAAAAAAATATAAATTGTACTCAATAATAGAACTTAGGAAATAAATAAACGCATAAAAAAATAAAAATACTATAAATTGT